GGGGGCGGGGCCGCGGGCGGGGGCGGCCAGGCTCGAAAGAGGGCGCAGGAAGTCCGGTCTGAACCAGGCCAGGCCGCGAGGAGCTGGTCGCGAAGTCCAGACCTGCAGCTACCCGACCCGCTGCAGTACCGCGCAAGCTACAGGCGAGGGCGCCGGGTCCTCGCCCGGCCCCGCAGGGCGGTGCTTAGAGCGCAGACAGGCTGGGCTGGGTGTCCTGCCTGAGGCCTGGGTCGCAGGGGCCGCGTCTCTCCCCCGATGGAGGGCGAGACACCCGCCCCGAGACCGTCCTCCTGGACTGAAGGTACTCAGTGCACGGTTGCTGCGGGAGCGAATCTTCCTCAGCACGTGTTCGTGGCACAGACCTAGGACATCCAAACGTCATGACCACAGCCGCCCAGGAGCAGAAGAGCGGAGGAGCTGTCATCAGCACCCCCTACCCCGTCCCACCCTTGCCCCAAAGGGGTCTCACTAGCAAGAGAATGGCCCAGGCAGGTAAGCCCCCACCTCTCAGGAGGATGGGTGCCCAGCCGGGGAGGCAGGAGAGGTGCCAGATCTAAAGTGGGAGGGGCTGGGCTCCAGTCGCTGGCCTTCTGCAAAGTGAAGCCCAGGAACTGGGGGACTCTCAGGTGGGTCTCCGGGAGGGGTCTGTGGCCCAAGTGAGGGAGCTGTGGACTGGAGCCTGTCTGGGTAGTTCAGGCGGTAGAAAATGAGGCCTTGTGGGTACCAGGAAAGAAGAGGAAACAAGGAGCAACACCAGGGTTTAATTCTGTCATAGAGCAGGTTACACAGCGTGGTTTCCCCAGCAGGGCCCTGGCCTCTGCAGGGCAGGCCATCCCGAGGCTGTGGCTGGGCCTACTTAGGAGATACCTTCTTGGCCTTGGTAGGCAGGGAGATGTCAGACTGCTGCAGTGGAGGTACCTTCACACCTTTCTGCTTCAGCTGATTGTAGAAATCACTTCTCTCTGAGATGATCCTCTGAGGAACACAGCCACTGAGTTGCCTCCTGAGCTCCCCACCTTGGCCTGGAACCCAGCTGCCTAGGCATGACCCTTCTGCCCTCCTACCCCAAGGACTTTGCCAAAGCAGTGACGTGAAAACATATTAACAGCACAACAGCAAAAAGCTCTGCCCCCATGCTGCCTGGGGTAGATATTCCTGCTGTAACTGGAAGATGTCACGGGAGCTGGGGCTAGGAGGAGATGTATGTGCTTGTTCCACAAATCAGCTCACCCCTAGCCTGCACTGAATCAGTCACCTTAGCACTGTAGGGAACCCTAGACTCCTAGAGACCAGGAGGCCATCTTTTTTGTCTTGTGCAAAGGGCTATCCAGTCCCTCCCTAGCCCTGCTCTCGTGCCCAGCAGATGCACAGGTCCACAGACACCACCTCTAGCTTCTGTCATCTGGCCTTCTGGCCTCTTCCCTCCCCACCAGCACACACAAGGCCATAGACCTGGCCTCAGGGTCCTGCTCTCCAGAGGTGGAGGTGACCAGGTGACACGCAGGCATGCTGGGCTCACAGGGGCAGTGCAGTGGCGGTTTGAGTCTTGGGAACAGAATAACAGCTAATGAGATGTGGCACCTGGGCACATGGCCCCAGCCAGAGCAGCCTGGGTCCTCCATGACCCGCAGATGCCCTACACCTTCAGGGTACGCACACAAACTTGCATTAGAGAGGGAAGATCCTCTAGCTCAGAGAAACATGGAGTGACCCACAGCTTTGCACTGAGCACCAGCACCCTAAACTGTGTCATTTCTGTTGCAGCATGACACCTTCCAAGGCCTCTGCTCGGGGACCCCAGATCCAAGGGAGTTGGCAAACTGAAGCCAAGAGACAGAGGTCTATGCCAGGATTCGGACCCAACAGTTTCTATGGAGGGGGCTGAGCTGGGCAGAGATCCTCCAGAATGCAGGCGGCTTGTTCCCTGTGGCAGGGATGGGAACAGTAGGTAGTGACCACTCAGTGTCCCTCCTCCTTGAGGCCTAGAGCAACTCCACGCTAGGACTATCCCTAGGGATGGTCTGGTACCTGCCAACCCAGACCTCGCCTCTGCCCTCTGCTGCAGGTCACAGGCTGTGGGGACAACAGGGTGCAGAGGCAGCGAGTGCTCAGGTATACCTGCAGAACATCCAGGATGCAGTTGTCAGAGATCTCCGTGGCCAAGTTCTTGGCCCCGCTGACGACAGTGAAGGCGGCCTGAATGATCTTGTTCCGTAGCTTCTCGAGCTGCCAACGAAGGGGGAAGCCCATTGCTCATTGCTGCCAAGCAAGATGCCTGACACAGCTGCAGTAAGTCCTGCAGGCCAGGAAGGCACATCTTGCCTCTGCTTGTCAGGGCGGTAGAAGCTGGAAGCCGAGCAAGCCTGAGAGCAAGAATGTGCTGGATCAGATCCAGCCCCTGGGTGGCCCAGCATCGCAGCCCAAAGGCTTTGCCATGCCAAAGCATTTTTGTTTTCAAAGTAGAAAGGGACACTTTTTTTTTGGTGGTGGTGCTAGGAATTGAGACTACAGCCTCACACATGCTAAGCGAGTTCTCTTCCACAGGCCATGTTCACAGTTCTATATATGGTTTTAAAATAGTGGCACTGGGTGAGAAGGGACTGGAGAGATGGCTCTGTGGTTAAGAGCATATGCTACTCTTGCAGAGAATCAGAGTTTGATTCCCAGCACCCATGTCGAGTGGCTCGAAGCCACCTGTAACTCCAGCTCTGAGGGGATCTGATGCCCTCTTCTGGCCTCCAGCAGCACCTACACACATGTGCACATACCACCACCTCTCTCCCGGTGTACACATAACTAGAAATAATAAAAACAAATCTTAAAAAGAAACATTGGCAAGGGGGTAGAGAGATATCTCAGTGGTTAAGAGTGCTCGCTGCTCTTGCAGAGGGCCCAAGTTCAGTTCCCAGAACCCCTATCGGGTGGCTCACAACCACCTGTAGCCCTAGCTCCAAGGGATTTCACACCCTCTTCTGGCTTCTACAGAGACTCATACATACGCATAAACAAATATAAATGTTTAAAAAATAAGCTGGGCGTGATGACAGACACCTTAATCCCACCAGCACTGTGGAGGCAGAGGCAGGTGCCTCTCTGTGAGATTGAGGCCAGCCTGGTCTACATAGCAAGTTCCAGATCAGCTTGGGGTACAGGGAGATGCTGGCTCAAAAAACAAATGAACAAAGAAACAAAAAAAAACAAAAAAACAAACAAAAAAAAAACCATAGCTGGGCGTGGTGGCGCACACCTTTAATCCCAGCACTCAGAAGGCAAAGGCAGGTGGATCTCTGAGTTCAAGGCCAGCCTGGTCTACATAGTGAGTTCCAGGCCAGCTGGGGCTACAAGGAGACCTTGTGTCAAAAAATAGAACAAACCCAACAGTAATAATAATAAATAATAATTTAGTCTACGGCTTCCAGTGGAGGCCTTGGCCTCTATACAATTAAACTTTGCTCTTTCTCTAGAGACAATCAATTGTTTAAGGCAAATCTCTCTCATATCTATAATATGGTGTTCATGAATATCAAGAAACAACAGTGAGGCCAGGCAAGATGGCTCGGAGGGTAAAGGTGCTTGCCACCAAGCCAGTCCGTCCCTGGGACCCACAGAGTAGAAGACCACTGTCGAGTTGCTTCTGACCTCGGTATATGTACTATGTCACCCACACACCTGAACACATATACACATATAAATAAACGAACAGTACAATTTTTTAAATGAAATGAAATGTCAAGGGCTGAGGGTATCACTTAGGGGTAAAACCCTTGCTGAGCATGTCCAAGGCCCTAAGTTCCATCTGTGGCATCAAAAACATACATCAAATCTAATCACAACCATGTATATATGACCATAGGCTTTCTCCTCCCAAATGAGCTCCGTCAGCACTCTCCTCCTGGTCCTCCAGGATGCTCTCTAGGGAGCAGGTGGGTGGGTTCCGCAGTTAGCAGCCCCCGTGGACGGAGCTGCAGGTGCTCTAGACCTGCTTGTGCTTGGACATGGCCACCCAGGGGACGCTAGTCACACCCTCCAGAGTTAAATCTTCCAACTTGTACCCCAGCTTTCCCCAGCAGAGACCCCAAGCTATGGCTACAAGTTCAGCACCAGCTCCGCACACTCTATCTAGAACCCGTGACTAATGCGAAAGCATCTCAGGAGGTGAGAGAGCACTGGGTTTGCCTGAAGCTGGCCTGAAAATTTAGCCTGGATCTCCTGATCCTCCTGCCTCCACCTTTTCCCAATTCGTAGTGCTCTATACTAAGTACCCAGAGTGCTGAAGGCACAGACTCTTAGTGCTGCTTCCCCCTGGATAGTCGCCTAGGGTATTCAGCCCCAGTGCCCAGCCCCTGTGGGAGCCTCCTCCATCAGCTGTGACTCTGTCATCTGCAGATTCCAGTGTCTGTTTCAGAATTTTTGCACTCACAATGTTGCAATCTCTGCTGAGTCCAGGCACAGTGGCAGATATTACCAGACACACCTTCATCAGGCAGGTGCCCTCCTGTCCCTTAGGACCCATGCAGGATCAGAAGCAGTTCATAACAGGCCCAGTGAGTGTCTCAGAGAGGCTGTCAGCAGACTGAGATGGGGCTGCCCAAGCAGGAAGGAAGGTAGAGCTGGGTTAAGCTGCCCTCCCTGGCCTGTGGGTGTGTGGGAAGGGAAGATCTTTCTGGAAGATCTTTCTAAAGCCTGCGTGCACGTGACCTTCTTCTTTGCTACATTCAGGGTTCTGGATGGACTCTTCTTGGGTCTGAGATGGCCAGGTCTGGGCCCCGAACCACCCACAAGCAGGTCTGGCTCATCCGTCGTCTCTGCAGAGCAAAGATCGTATGTACCTCACCCCAAGGCTCAGGGAACATTGAGAAGGAGGGGTCAAAGATAATGTAAGGGCCGGAGGACAGGGAGGGGAGCTGTGAGATGCTGTCCTCTCATCATGACTTGACCACACACAACCTCACAGCAGATGTGGTTTCCTGCCAGAGACATATGCAATGCCAATCCAGGTAAAGCTTCTGGAGTGTGTGGGGGAGTGGCTTCTGAGGCCCCATCCCTAGCTATTAATAGTTGATGGCTGCTGGAGAGGGAGAGTCACTTTTCTCTGAGCTGTGTTCTGTGCTCACTGGTAGGCTACCCAAGTGGACAACCCCCACAGCCATGCACATATGGGCAACGCTAAATTGAACTCAGTGGGTTATAAAAATAATAATAATAATAATAATAAATTGCCAGGCATGGTGGCGCACACCTTTAATCCCAGCACTCGTGAGGCAGAGGCAGGCAGATCCTCTGTGAGTTCAAGGCCAGCCTGGTCTACAGAGTGAGTTCCAGGACAGCTGGGGCTACAGGGGGACCCTGTCTCAAAAAGACCAATAATAATAATAATAATAATAATTGGGGCTGGAGAGATGGCTCACTGGTTAAGAGCACTGGCTGTTCTTGCAGAGGACCCCGAATTCGCTTCCCAGCACCCACATGGCAGCTAGCAACTGTCCATAAATCCAGTTCCAGGAGGCCTGACGCAGCCTCCTGTTCTCCATGGGCATTGCATGACATGGGTGCACTTACCTTTATGCAAGCAATATACACATAAAATAAAAATAATAAAATATTTTTAAGATATTCTTTGAGCAGATGGTCCAGTGGCTGAATAGTTTCCACGTTGTGATTTACTATAATGTTTTTAACTGTTTGCTGACCTGTGGGAATGCAGGTTCTTTCTGATATAGGCTAACATAGGTGCCCTTGTGAAGTCTTTGTGCAACAGCATGCCTGACCAAGTGTTTAGCCCTGAAGTTTCCATTGCTAACATGAAGACATACATGCATGCATACATTATTTATTTATTATTTTGTTTATTTATTTATATATTTTTGGTCTTTTTGAGACAGGGTCTCCCTGTAGCCCCAGCTGTTCTGGAACTCACTATGTAAACCAGGCTGACCTTGAACTCAGAGATCCGCCTGCCTCTGCCTCCGGAGTGCTGGGATTAAAGGCGTGCACCACCACGCCCGGCCATAAAATATTTTTAAAATAAATGAATTAATTTTAAAGAGGACTTGGAGTGGAAAGGGAGATATACTGGGGGTAAAGGTGGGGAGGTGGAAGGAGGCAGTGGTGGGGGAAATTATTAAAATGTGTTGTATTCATCTATGATATTAAAAAAAGAATAGTCTGTAGCTTACTGAGAGGATCAGATGGCTCTCATACTTAAAGCTCTTAAAAGAGTGGTTGACCCACACTCAGCACTCTCAAAGTGACTGGGCACCACCACCTTCCTTCTTCCTGGCTGCCTCTCCAAGTCCTTTGTACTGTCGGGATCCCACCCAAGCCCCACTTTCTGCATTAAACAATGGTGGCCCTTGCCTTCTCTGTTTCCAGAATATTCCATGCACCTTCACCCCCTCCTCTACCATTTCTCAAGCATCAACTTATACCGGATGCTGCAATCTGTGGCAGAATGAGCCAGAGCCCTTGTCTGCTGGGTGCAGCATCTACGAGGGTGGCCAGGGGGTAAGGGTGCAGGTGGTCGTCGGCGTGTTACCCTGGCCTGGGAGTTCTCCAGGATCACACGCGTCTGCTGTTCCATCTGCTGGATCGTCTCATTCCTGCCTTGAAGATCATTATGCAACTGCTTCCATCGTTGCAAGTGATTCTCGCTCAGGTTGACCTGAGCCCGCAGCTCAGTGACTTTGGTGTGCAGGTCTGTGATGGTCTCATCACGCCTGGTGAGGTCTCTCTCCAAGTCTGACACTTGCTGGGGAGAGTAAGGGAGGGGAGGGCAGTAGCCATGTGACCCAAGCTGTTCCTGTGTGGTCCACTCTTCTCCAAAAGACAAAAGGTACCCTGGGTTCCTGCAGCCCAGCCCACCCATTGCCAGAGGTGCCCTGTGTGGGTCTGTTGGGCCAGGTGCTGCCTGGATTGAGAGGCGTGGCTGAGCTGGGAAGACGTTCCAGGCTCATCTTATTCATCACGGCATTCCAACCCGTAAGGACAGTGGCCTGGGCCAGCCGTCAGGGCTGCCTGTGAGAGTCATCACCTGTCGGAGGCCAAGGTTCTCCTTCTCAATGAGCCCCATTATCTCCTGCTGTTTCTTTTCCTCCCGGAGGCTGGAGAACTGAGGGAGAACAGTGGAGTCAGTCTGGGTGCCAGGCCCAAGGCAGATGGAATATGGACACAGGACCTGTCCCCCCAGCCCTCCCTGCGAAAAAGCTGTGGGACTGGGACAGAGAGATGTTGAAGAGAAAGAGCCCCAGGGGCACGCGGAAGGTGGGAAGCAGAGCACCGGCTGGTGTCCCAGGCAGGCCAGAGAAAACTAGATCCTGCTGTTGGTAGGAAACCTGAAAACCGGCTTGGCCTGCTGGAGTCTCTCGGAGTGTCAGAAAGAGGCAGTGGGGAAGCGAAGTCCTGGTTCCCTGCTGCAGAAGCTGTGAGCTCTACAGTCATCCCGGACCTCGGCCTGCCAGCTACCTGCCCTTTGTCCAGGCTGGCAGAGACCAGTCAGCTTCAGGCATGGAGATGCCACCCTCCCCCTGTGCATGGAGTGCGGGTACTCAGTCTTCTACCCCACCAGGCACAGAACCCCAGCAAATGGTTTCTACTTGTTAGGTAAGGCGCTCTTCCAGTTTCCCAACTTTCAAGGAAAACTGACCAAATCAGCGACCCAAGACCTCCATGGAAACTCTCTTCAGGGCAACACTGTGCCAGAGAGCATAACACAGTCATCTGCACACTCAGAGGTCCCAGGACCTGGTGCGAAGGTCTGGTCTGAATCACAGAGACCAAGACAAACAGGAAGAGGAGCTTGTAGGGAGACAAAGCAGCTACGCTGCCCTCCCAGCATGGGGAGGCAGAGCCAGGAGGACTGCCAGGAGGCCAGGTCGGCCTGGGCTGCACAGACAGACCTCATCGCAAACAAAGAAAATAAGCTCTAACTAATTTGAGGGAAGAAGACAAAACTACTATTATGAAAATGAAAGGGTGCGTCATTCAGCAAAAGGAGGAAAGGAACCTTCGCAGAAGATGCTAGACCCTGGACATTCAGAATATAAAAGCTAACCCTCACAAGCAGGGCTACTGACAGAGCTGCGGAAATCTGAGGGGGGAGGGGTGGGCAGTAGAGAGACGATCAGAACGGAGGACCAGAGCAGGATGTCCAGCCCAAGTTACTGGAGCCCCAGAAGGGACTTCAGAGAAATCAGAGAGGAAGAATGCGATGGTTGGGGCTGGAGAGATGGCTCAGTGGTTCAGAGGACCTCCTCCTCCTGCAGAGGACCTGTGTTCAGTTCCCAGCAGCTCACAACCACCTGTAACTCACAGGTCCGGGGAATACAATGGCCTCTTCTGGCCTCCTTACGCACATACCCACAACACCCGTACCCACACCTCCACCACCCCCACACCTAATAAAATAATGTAATCTAGCCAGACACGGTGGTGCACAGTTGTAATCCCAGCACTCAGAAGGCAGAGGCAAGTGGACCTCTGTGAGATTTAGATCAGGTTGGCCTGTGGGCATGTCTGTAGGGGACTGCTTTGATTGTTAAATGGCGTGGAAGCCGACCCTGAAAGTGTGCAGCACAAGTCTGTGGTTGAGACTGTGTAAGAGTACAGAAACCAGGGCTGGAGAGATGGCTCAGCAGTTAAGACACCATCTGCTCTTGCAGAGGACCCAGGTTTGAGTCCCAGTGACCACATGGTAGCTAACAACCATCCATAACTCCAGTTCCAGGAGATCTGACATCCTCTTCTGACCTCCACGTGCACTTACATACACTTACATACACACACTCATACACATAAAACGATAAAATATTTTTTTAAAGAAGAGTAGAGAAGGCAAGTTGAGCACTAAACACGCACGCTATAATATCTCTGCTCTTGGTTGTGGATGTGACTGGTTGATTCTGGTTCCTGCCTTGACTTCCCTGCTATGGTGAACTGCAACCAGGAATTGTGAGCTAAGTAAACCCTTCTCCCCTAAGCTGATTTTTGTCAGGGTATTTTATCACAGCATCAGAAACGAAACCAGAACAAACAAGTGACTGGCATCATGACCAAAGAACCATAGGACACATTTCCAGGGGGCCACCGAGTGCCCACATCGTGTGATAATACATCTTAGACCAACAAGGCACAAGTCTGTGAGGGCACCTGGGACAAAGACGGGATCCTCACTACCTTCCAATAAACAGCCTGAGAGCTGCATCCTGTGGAGGAGCAAGGCTCAGGGTGGCCTCGGGCTTCCCAGCAGCTCCCCTCCATACCACCACCTTCAGGGGGCAGCGGACCTGCTGGATGGAACGCCTTCCAAACAGGGAGTCTGCGGTTGGTCACCCAGATCGTTATTAATGTGTAGAATAGTGCCATTTGAAGATGTTTTGTGTTCCCAGAGCTTTAAACCCATTTATCCTTTTTGAGAAAACTATGGGAGGATGTGCTCCGTCAGAACTAAGAAAGAACTAAAATGGAAAAGACTCTGTAAGGAAGTACAGGGTAACATCTATAAGTATAATCACCCGTATGATGCTACAGTAGACAGTCCTGAAGAATTTGCTAAAGGATTTAGAAGTCGTTGCTTTGGGGCAAGACAGAGACGGGCGAAGAACTTGGGTAACTATTTGGCTCTATAAATAATGAGCATGTGTAGCTTGGGTAAAAATAAACCTTTCTACTTCATGACATGATCTATCTCAGGTATTTGTTAACAGAGACAAGAGTAGGCTCAGTGACTAAGCACCCTCTACGCATAGATGGACTTAGCCTTGAGACTCAAGGACCAGTAAATGTTTAGGGAGTGGCCGTGGGTCACCATGGCACAGGACATAGAGACACATACTCCAGGCTAAAGGACCACAAAACTGTGGCCGTGCATGTGGCTTGTGACCTCCCACAAACCCAGGTAGGAATCGTCTTGGCTCTGCTGGGGTGAGGGGATCCCACTGGCCGTGCTTGCTGAGCCAGGCCGGTGAGGCTGCTGAGAGTGGAGCCACCTTGTCAGTCATGGCCTGTATCTGCCGCTTTCGTTCCCGTAGTTCCTTCTCTAATAACTCGTTTTCCGTGTTGACCTTTTGCAGCTGAGACTCTTGAAGGTCCACTTGTCGTTGTAAGGACATGATGGCCCCTAATGAGTGAAGGAGGAAACAGCAGGGTGAGGGAGACCTGGAAGACTCCAGCTCTCTACGCACCCCGGCCGCCCTCCCCGGCTCTTCTGATGGAGAGGGACCTGCGTCACCTGCCTCTCCTGCCCACTGAGCAGGGCCAGCAGGGCTGGGTATCCACACCCTGCCGCATCGACTCCCTGGCTCTTCCTACCTGTGGCAAGGGAGTACTTGGCCCTGGTGAGATCCAGCTCGGTCTGAAACTCCACCAGCATGTGCTCATATTCTTCCATCTGGGCTATCAGCTCCTCCTCGAAGGACTCAGTCAGCCAGTATGCCCTCTTGGGGTACTGGTCCTCCTCCTCCTCCTCCTCCACCACCTCCTCCTCCGCCTCTTCTGCTCCTTCTTGCCCCTCCTCATTGCCCTCCTGCCCAGTCCCCTTCCCGCCCATCCTGCCCCTGACGGTGGTGATTAGAGTCTCCTCAGGTAACCCCTCAGAGCTCTTTTCTTCCAGAAAGCCATCCAGCTGTGTCTGCCTTTCCCTGCTGGGCTCCATCCTGCCATATCCCTCTTGCATCTGTGGGAGGAAGAGAAAGGGGATAGAGGCAGGCGTCCCCAGGTGCAGGGAAAGGCAGCAACCCCAGCAAGTATCCCAAGACTCAGTTGTATCCTATCATCTGGACACTGTTAACTGGCCTGTGCTCTCAGGGGCATTGGGCTGAAACACCACCCTCATCTGCACTTGGGAAGGGTTACACCAGATCAGGCCTGTAGTCAGGGACACTGTGGCTAGGGCCTTCTAGCACCCAGCCTCGCCTTGGAGGAGCTGAGGCATGACAGCCTGGGGCTCTGGTCAGCTCCACACCTGTATCCAGCGCTGTAAATCCTCATCATCCCTGTTTATCATCCTTAGGATGCTCATTCTCCCATGCCTCATCAGAACCTCACAGGATCGCTCCTGCCAGATGCTGTCCAGAGCCTCAGGCTCTCCACTTGCTCCCGCGGGAGCCCTAGGAGATGACGTCCCGACACACACATACACACCATCCCCCATCCTCTTGGAAGGGTACGGCAACCTCACTGAGTGTAGATGGGCAACCGTGGAAGATGTCAGCAGAGCAAGGCAGTGGTCTACAGATAGCCAGCCCAAGGGGACCAGAGGGCTCTGGGCACTACCAGGACAGCCTCTAGTGAGCACCTTGCACAAATAAGCATGCTCATTTGCAGCACAGCTGACATATCATTTCTTGGTTGCCCTACCAACAGCCCTTGGGAGGGTGGGAAGTAGAAGCTTTGACCCCAGGGGTCTGTGTATGGGCAGCTTTGCTTGAGGGATCCAGGGTGCTGTCCATGGTCTGCTGTCTCCTCCCACTTCACATCTACCCAAATTCAGGCTGTGTCCTCAGGTGTGAAAGAAGTCTAGTCTCAAATCAATCAAGAGACCACCCCAGGCCACAGAGACCTGTCTCACTCAGCTCTCCCCAGGCGTGGAAGACAGACAGCATCTCATTGTGCACCCTCACAGACGAGGGTGCTGAGACAGGGAGGGAGAAATAGGCAAGAAGATATCACAGCCAGCTCAGACTAATCCTGGCTGCCTCCCCATGAAGCTCATAGCATAGCTAGTGGTCTACCTGCAGTGGCCTTTTATTCCTCAGACTGCAGAGGGGCTCGGCCCTCTTTATGGGTAGAGCAATTCCCAGAAGGTGCCATGACTTGCCCCAGGTAGAGTGAGAGCAAAGCCCAGGCACCCAGCTCTGATTCTGGCTCTCATCTCCTGCTCCTGCCTAACCAGTGTCTGCTCCGGTGAGGGCCTGCAGTATTCTAGAAGCTTGGGTGTTTTGGAAGCAAAATCCACAGCAAATGGAGTCATCTGGGTACTTCTGCAGGCCACCCACCAACAGCTTGCTTACCATCCTTATAGCGGGCCCAGCTGTGTCTGGGCCTTTGCTTTTGAGAAGGCTCCTCAGGGCCTCCTGCAGGGCCTCCCTCTCCTTCTGGAGTGCCAAGATCTCCTGGTCTTTCTTCTGCACCTGGGCCTCCAACTCTGAGAGGCGCTGGAGCTCTCCTTCCAGCATGAGCAGGGACTGATCCTGGGGAGAAAGCGGGAGCAACTCCTGGGCAGTTCCCCAACACCTTCCCGCACCCGTCCCACCCAGCCACCTGGAGAACAGCAGTCCCAAGCCCAAGAGGAGCGGATCCTTTGTGCTGAGACATCCAAACCCCAGTGGCCAAACTATGCAGCCGTTTGTTTCAGCCATGGCTTTACTGCAGTCACAGCCTGAGGCCTTCAGTGGCCTCTGCATCCGCCCTGAGAATAGACAGCCACGTCCCTGTGCAAAGGCGTTTGGCACAGCTCAGCTCTTAGGGCTGGATCCTGGTTGGCCTCCAAACTGTAATGCAGGAGTCTGCCTTCTCAGTGGCCCCAAACCTAAACAGAAATCCTCAAATGTTTGGAAGCAGAGTGATAGCCTTCTGTGTTGCCTGTGGATTGAAGAAGAACTCACCTGGGAAGTTAGTAAACACTTTGAACGGGACGGTATTGAACATGGGGGTGGGGAGTGTGTGTGAGTCTCAGGAACCTAGCTAAGGCTGGACTTAAAACCAGGTTGCAGGGGCTGGAGAGACCATTCGGCAGTTAAGAGCTCTTGCTGATCTTGCAGAAGACCTGAGTTCAGTTCCCAGCACCCACATCCAGAGGCTCACAACTGCCTGTAACTCCAGCTTCAGGGGACCTAATGTTCTTTCTGGCCTCTACAGGAAAATACATAGGAAACACACACACACACACACACACACGCACACCCGCACCCGCCACACACACACCTCCACACACCACACACACTTTTTTAAAGCCCAGTGGCACCCTTGAGATACATCTATTATGAGGAAAATGAAAAATCAATATAACTTGCCGTCTCAAGAATTTAGAAAAAAAAATCCTCAAGTTGAACCTATAGAAAACAGAACGAAGGAAACTGTGTAATCTAGGAATTAATGAAATCCAGGCCTGGTGGCGCAGGCCTGTCATCCCAGCTACTCAGGAGGTTGAAGAAGGAAGATCACAAGTTCAAGGGCTGCCTGGGCAACTTAGTGAGATCCTGTCTGAAACGTTCACAAGAGTGAAAACAGGGCTGGGGCTACAGCTCAGTGGTAGAGCAGTTGCCCAGAACGCATGAAGCTCTGGGTTCAATGCCCGGTACTAGGGGGAGATTAAAAAGAATTATGGGTACAAGGAGACAGAAAGCAGGGGACAGAAGAACCATGAAGGTGGTGGGGGAGGGGAGACGGCGCCCTGAAGGCACCCGTACTCACGTGTACGTGTTCACATACACACATGCGCACACATACGTGCATAATTTAAATGTTTTTATCTAAAAATGAAGAAGCAGGGGAGGGGAAATGGCTCCGTGGTTAAGAACACTTGCTTCCCTTGCAGAGGACCTGGGTTCAGTTCCCAACACCCACATAGCGGCTCACAATTGTCTGTAACTCCAGTTCTAGTAGATTTGACCCCTCTTCTGGCCTCTGTGGGCACTGCATGACATGGGTGCACTTACATACATGCAAGCAATATACTCATACACAAAAATATATAAATTAAATAAATTTACAATAACAAGGTGGAAGTTTGGAGAGCTATCTCATGTTGAGTACCTGCTGTTCTTGCAGGGGACCTAATTTTGATTCTTACCACCCACACTGGGCAGCTCACAGCCACTTTTTACACCAGTTTCTGAAGATTCAACACCTCTGGCCACCACAGGTACCTGTACAAACATACACACTCCACACACACACACACACACACAATTTTTTGTGTTTTGTTTTTTGAGACAGGGTCTCCCTGTAACACCAGCTGGCCTGGAACCCACTATGTAGAGCAGTCTGGCCTCGATCTCACAAAGATCCCCTCCTGCCTCTGGCTCCGCAGTGCTGGAGCCACTGCAACCAACCATATAAATAATCTTTTTAAAAAAATATTTTATTATTTTTATTTTATATGTATGAGTGTATTGCCTGCATGTAAGTGAGTGCAACCCTGTTGTGCATTACCGTGGAGGTCAGAAGAGGGCTTCAGATTCCCCTGGAACTTTAGTTAAAGACGGTCCATAGCTGCCATGTGGGTGCTGGGATTTCGAGTCCCAGCACCCACATGGCAGCTAAAAACCATCCTTAACTCCAGTTCCAGGGGATCTGACGCCCTCTTCTGTCCTCCACGGGCTTTGCATGACATGTGTGCACTTACACATACGCACTTACACTCATCCACATAAAATAAATAAATAAAAAATAAATAAATGAAATTTAAATAACTAAACAAGCAACAACAAAATAAATCTTTTAAAAATTAAATAGCCAAGTGTGGTGGTGTATGCTTTTAATCTCAACACTGGGGAGCCAGATGAAGGTGGATCTCTGTGAGTTTAAGGCCAGTATGTGTATGAGTTTTTCCTGCATGTGTGTAAGTGTACCATGTGTGTGCAATGCTCATGGAGGCCAGAAGAGGGTGTCAGATTCCCTGGAACTGCAGTTAGCTGTCATGTGTGTACTGGGAACCAAACCCAGGTCATCTGCAAGAGCAGCCAGTGCTCTTAACTACCTTTAGCCATCTCTCTAGTCCCCTGAATTTTTTAAATGAGGCCAATTTTGACACCAAAATCTGACCACAGAACCCTACAATAATTATACAGGCGCATTGTGGACCTACTCGCACAAGCAGCACTTCGGGTAGAAAGGATCATAGCAGGATGTGCTGACTTGCGCACAAGTCTCCTGGTCAGGGTGATTCAGATTCAGAGAACACAGGGGAACTTCCAGGTAGGAGGCAGACAACACTATTGGAGGCCACTCATGCGGTGCCAGATTGTTGGGATGAGGACAGGCAGGCATGGGGGCAGGGCAGGAGACTTGTCAATCATTGAATTCCTAGCTGCCTAAGGAGGGGGTCTAGGGACCATTTTAGGCCTCAGCCCAGACAGTGGAACAACAGCACCCTGTGGGGCAGCTAGAACTCAGGGCCAGGGCCTGGGGACTTACCTTTTCATGGATGACTGAGATGTACCAGGGCATCCTGGTTTTCTGAGACCTCCTGACTGAGCTGCTGGTGGAGGGACTCACAGATGGAGGCTCGCTCTCCTGGTGTGGGTAATTTAGCTCACAGGCACTCTTACTGAATGGAATGAGGTGCCCTAAAGAAGAAGCAGAGGCTGGTGGGCTGTTGACTTTGTCCCTGTGCGGCTGCTCTGGAATCTATCATGACAATGTCCACCCTTCAGGACTCTCCCTCAGAGGCCATCATCTGTCCGGAGAGCTATCTCCACTGCAATGAAAACCATAACTGTCTACCCCTCTACCAGAAGTCTGTGTGCAAGGACAGTGAGACTATCCCTGGGACCACTGTGTCCCAGACATGGGCAAGCATCAAGGTCCACATCCAGGGGCTAGAGAGATGGTGTAGTGGTTAAGAGCACTTACTCTTCTTCCAGAGGACCTGGGTTCACTTCCCAGCACCCACATGATGGCTAACACCCATCCTAACTCCAGTTCCAGGGAATCCAAAGCCCTCTTCTGTCCTCCACCAGCATTGCATGACACAGGTGCCCTTACAAATATGCAGACAAAACATTCATACACATAAAATGAAAATAAATAATTTTTTTACAGGGACTGGAGAGATAGCTCAGTGGTTAAGAGCACTGACTGTTCTAGCAGAGGACCCGAGTTCAATTCCCAGCACCCACATGGCTGCTAACAACTGTTCATACCGCTAGTTCCAGGGGATCCAATGCCTTCTGACTTCCATGGGCATTGCATGATACAGGTGCACTTACATACATGCAGGTATAACACTCATACACATAAATAATAAAAAGTAAAAAAAAAAATAATTTTTAAAAAGGTCCATATCCAGATCGTCAGGGCAGAGGAAGCAGAACCTGGGAGTTGGGAAGGGAGGGTATTTGCTCATCCCATTGTCTAGTCCTCTTGCTCCAAAGTCCCATCTTTAGACCTGTAGAACCCTGAGACCCTCCTCATTCACCCGCTACCCCCCAGTCCCTCCAGAATCCCACTAATTGCTCTTTTAGCTTCTGTAAAATGCTTGGCTGCTGCTTTAGACATGCCTAGACATGCCCTGGCATGCACTGACTCCTGCCTGCTATTCCCCACCCCCCTTCCAGGAAACTATAGATTAAGCAAGGCCGGGCATAAAAACTGCCCTATAAGGTAAATATGGAGACTCCTGGCCCCACAGGTAACAGTCAGCACATTCCACAGCCCTGAGAATAGCACCTACCAATAAGAAACTTCCAGAGCTGCATCTTATATATCCAATCGGTTTAAAATTATGTTGGCGTGCGCGGGCTCTTTGAACCAACCAAAATGTATCTTCGGTATCCACCCCCTTTGTCTAAAACCTATAAAAGGCTCCACTCTCCCTTACTCTGGGCTCTCAGCCCGGATCCGTTGAGTTGGTGAGGTCTGAGAGCCCGAGCTTAAGCCCGAATAAACCATAAACCTTTGCTTTTGCATTTTGGTCTGTTGGGTCCTCGGTGGTCTTCTTGGGGTCCAGTGGATGAGGTATAACAGGACCGAGGAGTCAGTCCTGAGGGAAGCTGGTCATTACAGGTCATTTCCCAAAATTACCATGTCTATCTCAGCTTCTGGCAAACAAAAGCCTGTTTCCGTCCTTGAGGTAGCACCCAGGGGGGCCCTCAAAAAGAGACAAAGTGGGGACACAACTTTTAGTTGCAGATTAGTCAAGACCAAGGAACAATGGCAGTGTCTTCCCTTGGTGAAGGCTGAGCCCAACTGCAGAGCTGGACCTAGGAGGCCTGTCTCTCAGAGCCTTTGATAAACAGGTGGTCCTATGAAGGAGTTCCATGGGGACAACAGGTTTCCCACGGGGTACAGCCTTGTGCCCCAGGGCCCCAGCAGATGCAGGCAGAGGCCCTTGGGGTGGCCTTACCATCCACACTCACGGCTGAGCCCCGTCTGTCCAGGAGCTGGTCCTCAGTTAACTTCCAGCTCCCAGGGCTGACGCACGTGTCCCTTGGCAGATCGACCGTGGTGGCAGAACCTGCAGGTGGTGACGAGGAGCTCTCACCACCCCAGGTCTCCCGGGCAGAGACTGTCATGCTGTTTAATCTTTAAATATTGGAGGAGGAACAGATGAGTCTTCCCGATAAAGGCACAGGACTGAGCGATGGGCTCCATCAAAGCGTGGGCTCCGTATTTCTCTCATCTGGTGTCTTCTAAGCAGACCAAGGGTAGTGCCCAGTCGATATCAAACACTGTCCCTGCAGCCAGGATGCTGTGTGGCCCCTCAGCCCCCAGAAAAACCCGGTGCCTCACACATCCCCTGACTGAGGATAAGAGCAGACGCAAACAGCCCAGAGCAGTGTTTGCCTGGCAATGCTGAGTAACACAGCAGTCCCCACCCCAGTCTGGCTCACAGAAAGCCTCCCTGACAGCACTATTGTGTGGGGACTTGGTACAACAGTAGGTCAGGGAGCCAAGAGGGGGGACACAGCAGCCTTGGCTCTGGTGTCCCCCTGGGTGGCCACTGAACAAGGAGGGATTGAGACAAGGGACTTCTAGGACTACCCAGGGTGTTTGCTAGCACTGACTGAGGCATCTGTGGCTTTAAAGGCCTCCTTCCTGAAGCTTCCGGAAGCCCCGACCCTTTACTTGCCCCTGGCCCAACACTACACATTGTCGACAGTGAAATAACAAAACCGGAAGTCTGGGAAACAAAAAGGGAACCGTTGTGAGCGAGCCAAGGCTTGCCCCTCCACTCCCAGCCTGAGCTCAGGTCCCACAGGGTCTCCTTCCCCCAAATAGTGACAATGGCCCCCTTCAGGTGCCTTCAGTCACCCTGGGCAGGGGCTCTTACCCATATGAGACATGGATGTGGCCCTGGTGCTGAACTGGGGGCAGCCAGGCCTCACGAGAAAGGCTTTTCTCAGTTCTTCTATTTTGCATGCAAAGCCATCAGGACAGGCAAGGCGCTTGGACTGGCTCTGGCAGAAGCAAAAGTGAGACAGCCGCCGCGATGCAGATGCTGGGGTCCGGCTTTCTGTTGGCTGCAGGGACCCTGTCCACTCGGGTGCTCACAGCAACGCTTTGTCCCCTGCCTGACCAGCTGGAATGTTCACCAGGAGACCCCGTGCTACAGGCCACCCTTGGCTGGGTCCTCAGTGTCGGTCTGGGAAGCCACCAAGCCTGCTTTCAGCATCTCAGGCTCTCCTGGTGCATGGTGGGTGCGGGTGACCCTTCCGTCTGGACTTCCCCCTCTTGGGCTCTCTTCTCCCTTCCACACCCCTCTCCAGTCTCAGGACAGATCGGACTGCTCTTCTGGGCTCAGACTTGACTTCCTTCTTTGGGCTTGGCAGTCCAGAGCAAGGAGGAGCCAAGGCCTGCAAGGAGGGAAGCCAGCCCTGCACAACCACCTCCCCAGGGAAGCCGCAGGGCTCTGGAAGGGAGGCCACAGGCCCTTCAGGAAATAGGGCAAGGCTGGCCAGGGCTCTGACCCCACCCCTCAAGAGCTGCAGTCCTTGGGCCTCCTGAGCACCTTGTGGCAGGCAGCCACCAAATGTGCACTGAGCTCTGTTGACTGATGTTTCACGTGGCCCTTTGGCAAGGGGGAGAAGCGGTCAGCTCCAGAGTGACCGTGCTTGGTATCTGGCAGCGCACCTCCCATGCCTTACCGTCTTTCGGTAGTAGTTGCTGATGGCCTGGGCTGACTTGCTGAGGCCGTTCTGGTTTCTTGGCCGCTTCATCTCTGTGTTCTGGGAGCCCCGGCTGGCCATGCTTTGCAGAAGCGCCAAGCCCTTGCTGATCCGAGGGGACGTCAAGTTGGACTCCTCAGACTGACTCTCCTTTTTAGGGGACATTGGGATGGCAGGGCCAAAGCCAGAGACGCAGCCCTGAATGACCACACAGGCCTGTTTTTCCTGGGCACAACTCAAGCTGTAGAAGGGAATTTGACCTTGAGCTGGAACCTTCAGAAAGATCCAGACCAAACAAGACCAGCTTCCAAAGCCCCTCACCTACAGCTCCTCAGAGCAGCTGTGGCATCACAGATGTTTCCATAGAAACAGGGCAGGGCATGGTCTCCTCAATTTCTGCAATTAGGGAAAGGAGCTTGGGAGGGGACCCAAACTCTTCCCACCAGATCTTGAGGTATCACAAAAGTAGGAAGCATGGCCTGACCCCAGAAGCCCAGCGCCCTTCTCATGGGGTGAAGGCAGTAATTTTCTCTTTCACTTTTATCCACTCATTGTACGTATTGGTGGAACTTTTATCTCCAGTGCATCATATACTTTGACCATATTGTGAGAAACAATAATCTTCGCTTCATAATAAGAGTACCAAAGACTCGGAGTAGTAAAATCAAAGCAGTTCATTTTACGGTCTTGCAGAGTTGGGTGTCGACCTAGAGTGGCAGACACATTGACTGAACGCAGGGAGTCTACGAGCCCTAACGCATGACCCTTCTTCCCTTATTAATAACGAGGAGGGTTCAATCTTACAGTCACCTAGATCTTGTCTTCCCCTCAGTCCCTTAGGTTTGACTTTTTCTCAATAAAAAGCATGCATGAGTTTATCTCTATGTTTTATATCCTGTTTACCTTAAAGTTTATCAGTTTGGGGGTGGGGTAGCCTAGGAGTTTGGGTGTGGAATAGCTAGTCTGGCAGGCATTAGCAAGGGTCTAGTGTTTACTGTTCATTTGTAGCTGGACATAAGCTGGCTTGAGGTGTCTTTGAAAATGAACTGTCAGATGTTATTTCTAACAACAATCACCCTGGGCTCTCCCCTTCCCTCCCCCACTCTGCTAGTCCCTTCCCTTTTCCTGGATCATGCCATTTCTATGTTATTTTCATGTGTATATATAAATAATCACACTATCTCTCTCTCTCCTCCCCCCCGCTCCAGGATTCACATGTAAGGGAGAACATCAATATTTGTCTTTCTGAGTCTGGCTTATTCTACTTGATATGATGATTTTCAAGACTGAGTACCATTCTATAGTCTAAGTGGGAAATGGATACCTTAATCTATAGCCCCGAATGGCCCAGAATTTACTCTGTCGCACGGACTGGCCTAGAACTCACAGTGGTCCTTCCGCCTCAGCCTCCCAAGTGCTGGAATTAGTCATGAGCTGCCTGACTTAATTGTGTGGATGTTCTTTTTTTTTTTTTTTTTTTTTTTTTTTGTCTTTTTGAGACAGAGTCTCCCTCTATCCCCAACTGTCCTGGAACTCACTATGTAGACCAGGCTGGCCCTGAACTCATAGAGGTCCGCCTGCGTCTGCCTCCCGAGTGCTGGGATTAAAGGCATGTGCCACCACGCCCGGCTGAATGTTCTTTTTTTTTAAATTAAGTGTCTCCATCATTTTTTCATCTTATTTCAAATCTGACAGCATGGTAGTATTTGTTACAAAAACATTAGCGTCTTTGTTTAAATCCACAATTTAGAGAGATTTCTTTTTCTTATATTTTATTTTTATTTTATGTGTATACATGCATTGCCTGCATGTAGGTAAGGGCATCTCTGTTGTGCAATGCCCGCGGACAGAAGAGACTGTTGGATCCCCTGGGACTGGAGTTACCGACAGTTGTTAGCTGCCATGTGGGTGCTGGCATTCGAACCCGGGTCTTCTGCAAGAACGACCAGTGTTCTTAACCTCTGAGTCATCTCTCCAGCCCATAAAATATTTTTTAAATACAGTAAGGGTTGAGGTGGAGGGGTTACCTCTTCCAGAGAAAGGCGTCTCGTTTTCTTATTGTGATAAAAATGCACATAACAGCTGGGCTGCACAGCCCCCAGTGTCCTGGTACCAGCACCTTCCCTGGGTATGTCCAGTGCACCCACCTCACCTTGACTCTCCCAGCCTCTTTCACCCTCCTAGCCTGGGTACAGGCCCATTTCTTGTCTTGGCACCCCAGACACCAGGGCTAACCTCTTGGCCCAGAGCCACCACTGCTTCCTGATCCTTTGCATCTGGACCAACCCAGTTCCTCCCTACGGTCCCCAGGAACCCTCTGGGCTGGGTCCTGCCCTCACCTCCCTTCACTTTCCTGGGTGGCACAGCCTAGCATCCTGAGACCATCATCTTTCCTGGGCCCTATTCCCTGGCCAGCCCAGCCCCCAAATTCCTGAGGGCAGCATCTTTCCTGGAGGGACCCAGACCTTAGGAGAAAGCCTGAGAGCATCTGAGCCTCATCTCACTTGGGCCTCTGAGGGAACTCCTGAAGACAAAAGCAATCTGGCCACTCCAATATAAAATCAAAAGAGAGAATCTGAAGCCTAGACCAACCAGCTTTTCATGCCCAACAAGTAAACCACAAAGGCACATAAAGTACAAAAAGAAGCAGATCTAACCTCAACAAAGGAAGGCTTGAGTCTCACACAAGAATGAGAAACTACAAAAGAAATCCACGCCAAAGTCACAGAGGAAAAATAATAACATGAAAAACCAAAATAACATATCCCCACCAAGTACCAATAGTCCTCTAGAGGAGTACAATGAGAACTCCCTAGAGATAACACAGGACATGGAACTCGAAAGAACAATTATAAACATGATAAAAAGAATTCAGTGAATTTAAAGAACACACAAAGAAATCAAAGAAC